AAGAAGAAGAAGAAGAAGAAGAAGAAGAAGAAGAAGAAGAAGAAGAAAAGAGAAAAAAGAAAACCAACAACAAGCACAATGAGAAAGAAAAAGGGGAAGAAAACATTCTAAATATCCTCGAAGTCCACGGAATGGGAGATCTGGGGTGGGGAGTGTACGGAAAAAGAGGCTCTTGAGTAGATCTTTGAAAGGCAGGTATGACATCAGGGTAGAGAAAACAAACACAGAAGAACCACAGATTAACTCCCTGAAAGAATAATTAACATACATGAGGATGACTGGCAAGGACTGTATGTATGCAGTGGGCAGACATGGGGCTGGAAAGATGAAAGGCTAAGTCTCACTCTCATTGGTTGTCTCTTCCTCTTCCTATTTCTTGTTACACATACAGATATCTAGGAACTGTAAGATCCCGTCCGAAGGACAGTGTGGCGTCCTATGGCAGTCGTAGATATGATGAGAAAGAACATTCTGTCAAAAGTGGATGGAAAGTTTTTAAAATCAGAACTCTGAGCTGAAGAGAGAGAGCAGCAAGCACTCAGATCCTTCCCGGGTTCAGGTGTAACTTCCCAGCCATTGAGAATCTTTTCAATTACGGGACGTGAACACACGCTGTTAATTCACGATGTTCAGTTACATTTCCTTCCATGACAGGGGACACAAAGAAACAGTACTGGGAATGTACTTTTAGGATCTATTGGGATGATATCTTAGGTGGGGTTTTTATTGCCGTGAAGAGACACCATGACCACAAAAACTTTTATAAAGGAAAACATGTAATTGGGTGGCTTGCAATTTCAGAGGTTTAGTCCATTATCATCATGGTGGGATATGGTGGTGTGCAGTCAGACATGGTGCTGGAAAAGGAGATGGGCATTGTACATCTTAACCCATAGGCAACAGGAAGCGGTCTGACACACTGGGCACGACTTGAGCACATATGCAATTTCAAAGTCTGCCCCCACAGTGACACACTTCTTCCAACAAAGTCAGACATACTCCAAAAAAGTCACACCTCCTAATAGTGCCATTCCCTATGAGCTTATGGGGCAATTACATTCAAACTGCCACATTCCACTCCCTGACCCACATAACCTTGGAACAATATCAAAATGCAAAACACATTTAGCCCAGCTTCAACAGTCCCCATAGTCTATCACAGTCTCAACAATGTTTAAAAGTCCAAAGTTCAAAGTCTCTTCTGAAATTCATGTAATCTCTTAACTGTAATCCCCCATAAAAACAAAATCAAAATTCAGATCACATATAACATATAATGGCACAGGATGTACATCCCAAAGCATAGGAAAAGGAGTATAGTGAGGAAATACTGAACCAAAGCAAGACCAAAACCAACTGGGCCCACTCTAAACTCTGCATCTCCATGTCTGATGTCAAAGCACTCTTCAGATCTCCAACTCCTCTCAGCTTTATTGACTATAACACACTTCTTTCTCTTGGAGTGAATTCACTCCCTGTTAGCAGTTTTCTTTGGCAGGTATCCCATGACTCTGGCATCTTGAACATCTTGGGGTCTCCAAGGCAATCAAAATTTCACACAATGGCTTCTCTGGGCTTCTCCATTCAGGGACACCCTTGCCGCATGCTTGGCTTCGGTAGCTCTCCTTGGTTACTGCTTGACTCCAAAGCCAGAACCATGTGGCCGAAGCTGCCAAGTTCTGCTGCTTGATGACGCTGGATCACAGTCTCTCATTCAGCTTCATCTTCACCAGCTTTTTATTTTCCACGGTTTCTTTCACTGCCTAAGCTTGGCTGTCCTTGAACTTGCTCCGTACACCAGGCTGGCCATAAACTCGGAGATCAGCCACTACCTTCTGAATGCTGGGATGAAAGTCTTGCACCACCACAGCCAACTCTAATATTTTCTTTAGTTCCTCTGCACAATTTGGAAACTTAGATGGGCGGGATCCTACCTCGAGGTCACTGCTCCCCTTATTCCATTTCTTAATCTGTTTATCTCCTTGCTCCGTTTCATTTCCTGGTACTTCTTTTCTCCTCAAATTTGCATTTTGTAATTTTCCTTGCTCAGCTTGCTCCTTTTCATTACAAATCATCATTAGAGTCAAGACTGATAACCACATGACAGAGTCTATACTAGGCTGTTCTGAGATTTCCTCTGCCAAGAAGATTAATCCAAAACTCTTCACTTTAGTCTCAAGCAGACTCTCAGACAATGGCAAAAAGTAGCCTCTTTCTTCGCCAAAATATCTCCAGATCCATCTCTGGGCAACACTAACATTTATTCTCCTCTGAAACCTCTTGAGCCAGCCCCCCACAGTTCTAATTACTCTTAGCACACTGTCTTCCATGCTCCTAATGGTATGGCCCATTGATCGGTGCTTACAGCATTCCACTGCTTTCCTAACCCAGACTCCCAAAGTCCAAATTCTTCTCAACAAAAGCACAGTCAGGCCTGTCACAGCAATACCGCAGTCCCTGGACCCAACTTCTGCCTGAGGGTTTCTATTGCTGTGAAGAGACTCCATGACCAGGGAAGTTCTTATAAAGAGGTTCACTCCATCATCATCATGGTGGGACATGGCTGCATGCCGGCAGACATGCTGCTGGAGAAGGAGCTGAGAGTTAATGCATCTTGACCCGCAGGCCAGCAGGAAGTGGACTGAACTTCCTGTGGTTCAGTCAGTCATAGCTTAAGCATAGGAGTCCTCAAAGTCCCCATGGTGACAGACTTCCTCCAACAAGGTCAGACCTAATTCGACAAGGCCACACCTCCCGATAGAACCACTCCCTATAAGCCCATATATGCAAGGGCACTGCATGAATGCCTGGTACCTGGCAAGCCAGAAGAATGGGCCAGCTTCCCGGAAGTTGGAATGAATGACAGCTGTGACCATGTGGGTGCTGGAAACCAAATAGGAGTCCTTTACAAGAGCAGTAAGTTTCATTAATCATTGAGTCATTTCTCTACCCATGGTGAGCAATGTTAAAAGTTAAGCTAGATCTCCTGTGTTGGTGAGCTTTTGTTACTCTAACAAACACCTGAATTACAAACAGAATTACAGATGCCAATATAGACATCTCACAGTAGAGAAGACATTTATTGTAGGGAGAGCCTAGAAGTGAATCGGTAGCTAAAGAAGGAAGTGAGTGAGGTGCTGGGGTTTTTGCTGTGGGACTATGGTCTTTCATCCTGTCACTTGTATTATTTTAATGAAATGTTGATGGATCAGTAGCCAGGCAGGAAGTAGAGCTGAGAGCAGGAGAGTTCTGCAGTCTGCAGTCATGACCCCATTGCAGAGGAAGCAAGATGTAAATGCCTTGTCAAAAAAGGTACCGAGCCACGTGGTTGATATAGACAAGAATAATGGGCTAGTTTAAGATGTAGGAATTAATTAATAAGAAAAGCCTGATCTACTAGGCTGGTCAGTTTATGATTAATGTAGACCTCTGTGTGTTTATTTGGGACTTAATGGGTATGAGATCTTGTAGGACAGAAACCTCTGTCAACAAGTTTAATTTGCTTTTGTTGTGTGTGTGTGTGTGTGTGTGTGTGTTTAAGGGAATATATATATATGTATATATATTATACATATATGTATATATATATATATGGCCTGGAGCCATGACTTGAGTATATATATCATAGGGTCTATAAGCATCACTTCCTGGATAACAGCTGTTGTAGATAGAAGTTTCTATCCAGCCCAGTCCTGTAGCCATTCAGTCCCAAAGAAATACACAGAGGCTTATATTAATTATAAACAGTTTAGTCTATTGCTCAGGCTTATTGTTAACTACCTCTTCCAATTTAAATTAATCCATAATTTTTGTCTATGTTTAGCCATGAGATCTGGTACCTTCTCAGTCAGGCATTCTCATCTTGCTTTCTCTGTGTCTTGCTAGTGACTGACTCTCTGCCTTTTTTCCCAGAATTCTCTTAGTCTGGATGCCCCACTTACACTTCCTGCCTGGCTACTGGCCAATCAGCGTTTTATTAAACTAATACTAGTGACAAATCTTTACAGTGTACAAGAGCACTATCCTACAGCATTTCCCCCTTTTTTCTTTTTAAAATAAAACTCCAAATCTAATCTCCTTTGTTTAACTTTTTTCCTGACCATTATCCACAACAACCCATCTCAAAGTTTTAAAGTATATAGATGGAGTGGTATTATAGTTATAGGAGAGAGAGAGAGAGAGAGAGAGAGAGAGAGAGAGAGAGAGAGAGAGAGATGAGATGAGATTGCATGCACATGAGTGTGGATGACTATGGATGTCAAGAGGACATCAGATTTGAAACTGAAATCCAGCCAGTGTGAGTGCTAGCAACTGAAATTAGTTATTTGCCAAGAGCATTAAAGGTACTAAGCAGACTTGACTGCTGGGTTCTTTCTCCAGTCCCAATTTTTAAATATTTGAGAAACTCTATGGTACCCAGACTAGCTTCCATTTGCAACACTGTATAAGCATCTCCTTTGTCCTCATCTCCACCAGCACCAGCTCTCTGTTTCCTCAATGACCGCCCTCCTGACTGGGGCGAGACAGAAGCTCAATAAGAATCCTGAGTCAACATTTCACAGAGAGACTTGCACATCAGCGTTTGCTGCGGTACTGCTCACAATGGCCAAGTTCTGGATCCAGTCTAGGTGTCCATCAATAAAGGAATAAATGAAAAAAATGTAATTAATATCTACAATAGTTTATTTTTTCAGCCATAAAGAATAAAGTTTGTGACCTTCACAGAACAATGGATGCAACTGGAAATGATCATATTAAGAAATGTAATCAATCACAGATATTGAACATGTTCACTCATTGCATGTGGTACCCTGGAAACAAGTCACCAAGAGCTCTGGTGTTTCAAGGATGTCAGGGAGAACGTTATTAGTAGTGAGCCAGGGAAGGGCATGTCCTGGAATATGAGCCCGGGGCAATGATGGAGGGCTTTGATGTGGGAGAGAATCCCTTCCTTATGGCATACTTGGTGCCACATACAAGTCAGTGAATGAGATGTATGCTGGAAAATAGGTTTCCTTTCTGGGAAGGGATGCCGTGGTGGGTGTTCTTGGTCATCAACTTGGCCGCATCTGGGATGAACTGAAACCCAAGTGGCTGGGTACACCTGTGAGGGATTCTTCTTAATTAACCACTTGAAATGGAAAGACCCATTTTTAATCTGGGTCTTTTGAGGTGGTAAGATCCATCTTTAATGTGGGCCGCACTTTCTGCTGGCAGCCTATATAAAGGACATGGGAGGAAGAGGCTCGCTGTCTTTGCCTGTTTGTCCTTATTGTCTACTGCCAAGGCTGTTCCTTCACTGGCATTAGAGCCTACTTCTTCGGGAATCTGGCGGATACTGCAGCCCAGCAGTCTGATACAGCAGGTCTCATGGACTGAACAGCTGCTGGATTCTTGGACCGCCCATTGGTAGACAGCTATTGCAGGCTAACAGGACCGCAGCCTGGGTGCCACTCTGATAAATCCCCACATTCTATCAGCTCTTTTCCTCTAGAGAGCCCTGGCAACTACAGAGGGGTTAGCACAGAGGACCCAGGGAGGGGGCTTCCCGTCCCTGAGCCTGGAAAGGTAAATGGGCAAGCAGGCAGAGCGACTATGACCAGAGTTATGGGCATCCCCTACCAATAGAGGTGTTTCCCTTGGTATCACAGAGACAGTGTGTCTCCCCACCCCCACACCTTCTGCCCACCTCCACTCACTCTAAGATCCACACATGATCTTACACACATCATCTTGAGTCCATATTTGCTTCGGAGTCACTCTTTAGTCAACAGAACGCACTACCTGGCATTCTGCAAACCTTCCCCCAGCTAGTTCTAGACTCCCAGGCGGCCAGTTTCTATTAGAGTGACCGTCAAATCCATTTAAATGTAATGAAAATTCCCCAAGGAACAGGTCGGGAGCTAGAACAACGGGTGTCGTAAACAGATGTCCCAGGCCAGTGTCGTTTTTTTTTGGGGGGGGGGAAGCCCTGGACCTCATGAGCAGGGTCAGAGCTTGGTCTCAGTTATGTGAAATTTCAGCAGGAGCACAAACCTTCTCTAGTGGGTTGAATTATGTTAGCTCTAGATTTGTGTTTCACAGACAAACTGTGGTTGAGGGGTATTTGTACCCTGCTGGGATGCACATCCGGCCCAGCCAGAGCTGAGGGGGACCTGCAAACTGCTTCCCAAGGCTCCCCAGGAAGCTCTGTCAACTGCAGGGCCCGCCTGACTCTGCGGTCCTGAGGACTCGGGCTGGAGCTCGAAGCAAAGGTTTGAAGTCCTAAAGGCCTGCTGAGGTAGGGATCTTGTTTGGTCTGCTCGGCCTGGTCCAAGGCTACACAGTAGCTTCCTCTCTGATTCTCGGATCTGAGCAGGTGCTGGGTGCGATTCGGGCTGTCGTCAAAGCGTGTTCAAGAGAGACAGAGAGATGTTGAAGTTGAGGGCAGAGAGACTAGCGAAGCTGCCAAGGCCTATTCTTGCCTCTTTTCACAGGTTCCAAAGGCCAAGGTGCTGTGATTTCAGGGGGACATACACCAAGGGCCGTTCACAACGAGAGAAGACAAAGGTTTGGGAAGTGTAATGATGGACGATTGTCCTCCGCAGCCAGTCATGGGTCCACAGACATCGGGAAACAAACGCCTTACCGGAGCGCAGCCTGGTCCTTTACCTCATTTGGCAGGTGGGTGGCTCGGGACCCTCTAGTCGCAGGAACCTAATGGATTAAATAGCTCTTCTCAGCAACTGCTCTTCCTTGTAGCATCAGCTCAAAACTTTGAGAAGGGGAAAAAAACCTAACTGTTTCCAAAGATCCGGGAGCCAGTGTGTACTTACTGATCCGTGCCACTCGGGATGCACAGGGGTGTGAGCCACGTGTGGGGCACACAGAGACTCGCTCAGGCTCCGGCGGAGGCGCAGGACCGCGGGAATCCCGACTGGGCACGGCCACTCCTCTCCGGCAACGCTAAGCAAGAGGGTACAGCCGCTCATGTTTATTCACGCCCCTTAAACAGCGGGGTTCTCGTAGACATTCCTCAACCGCTCCAACTACTCACTCAAGTCTAAGATCTTTCTGTCAGTCTGACTGGCTGGCTATATATTTATACTGCAGCAAAAAAAAAATTCCGTTCCTGAAAAAGTCTCACCACCCTTTCTGATTTTGGGTTGGCTCACGAGGGGGCTCGTCGCGGGAGCTGCGAATGCGCTCCCTGATTGTCCTTCTAACCCGAGGTAGTTCAGATTTTTCTGGAAGACTTCACCTTTTCCTTGAAGACGAGGTCCGTTCCGTAGTTCTATGAGAATGCTGTCTCTTTGCTTTAATAGCCTCTCCCCCTCCCCGCCCCCATCAGACAACTTTCAGGTTGCTAAACAACAACAAAAATAACAAATGCTTTGAATGCGAATCTTCAGGGGTTAAATTCGTGGATGAGAGAGGGCGGTCCGGGTCAGAGTTCCTCACTTTAAAGTAATTCCAGCCTGGGGCGGGGCCTTCTGGACGTTCTCTCCGGGATCCCTTACTTCTGCTGCTGGTCCCGCTGGAGCGAGCGCAACCCCTTTTCCTGCTACCTCCATCCCCAGCAGGGTTTCAACTTTTCCGGCTGCCGCAGAAGGAGCCTGGCAGGGAGGTCAGTGCCCTGCTGAGGCCGTCAGGGAAGATCTCAACCCCAGCCTTGGTTGACCCCAATTAGTGTCACTTCTGCCCCTTTCCTCCTCAGTCTGTCTGTCCCTTGACTTTTCTGGACTGGCTGTCCCCCGTTTCTTTGGTGTCGCTCTGAACCTCTCTTTTGCCCATGCTGTCCTGAAGAATCTTCCAGACTCTACAGGGCTCCTTTCTACACGGCTCCTTTAGCGACCGTCGACTTGGAACTGGTTCTTGCTAAGTAAGACCACCAAGTCGATGGTTCAAACAGCCCAATTTAAAAAAAAAAAAAAAAAAAAAAAAAAAAAAAAAAAAAAAAAAAAAAACAAAAAAAAAAAAAAAAAAAAAAAAAAAAAAAAAAAAAAAAAAAAAAACCTCAGCA